GAACTTGATGTATTTGCATATCTGTTTTCTAGACAGTAGGGAGCAGGCAGGATACATGAACTGGATGGAAGTAAAGGAGGCATTTCTGGAGTGGAATATTCAAGTGAAATAACATTTTCAAATTTTATGCCAACTTTTTCATCTTCATATTACAGAGGACAAGGCTATTTGTCACATTTAAAGAACTTTTGGAATAAAGATGTTGGTTTAAGAGTGATTTGTTATCCACACTCAAGTTTTAGTCAAATTAAGCAGTATTTGAATGAACCTGCATATTTATATATATCAGAGGCAGATAATTTATAAGATAGTTAAAATTTATCAAAGTATTCAATCTACTGTTATAGACACTCTCTTCTGGGGACAAACTATAGCATATTTTCTTATAATGGGAACTATTGAAATGTGCGCCACATAATTAAACTGTCTAGCAAGCAAGTTAAATTTTCTATGGAAATTTGATTATTTTATGTCAATGTGGCTTGAAACTATTATTAAGAGATGGCTTATGTCACATGCTAATTTGCCTTATTGTCCTAAGAATGAAAAGTCAGCTAAATGTTGCTTATTTCTATTTTAAAATACCCTCCAGAACTAACACTATAGTTGACATAACCTTTTTTCTCAATTCCACAAGCCATTTTAAAATGGATACAAGTACATGTTTTGTACATTTAAACTATGGTTCAAATAATTGTGATATTACATAGCTTTCATATGTTCTGGTTTAATATTCCAGATTAATTTTCATAATATCATAAAACTTATAAAATCAATTCAGTGGCATAATGGCTTCTTATTTCATTTGAAGATTTTGAAAAATTAGATAGATTCACATTTATTGCTTGCTACCTGACACTGACCAGTTTAATACTAGAAATAGTATTATTCTTGTTTAGTCACTAAGTCATGTCTGACTCTTTTTTGACCTCAAGGACTGTAGCCCGCCAGCTTCCTCTGTCCATGGGATTCTCCAGGTAAGAATACTGGAGTGGGTTGCCATTTCCTTCTCTAGGGGATCTTCCCAACTCAGGGATTGAACCTCCCTCTCGGGCATTGGGAGGCAGATTCTGTACCACTGAGCCACCAGGGAAGCTCAGAAATAAGTAGTATCTAATTAAATTTCCATTTTAGCACATTATTTCAAAACTTGTGATTTATTCATTATAACTAAGATTTGCTGCAATACATTTTATTTCACTTGCATTAATAAGCACACATTAGCATAATTAATTCTTTTTACCTTTCAAATCCTGTTTCAAAGTAAGAAGGCATTAGAAATATTGAATTTAGTTTCAAAGTCTCTGGTCACAGAGGGAGTACTTTCTCGTGAATTAATAATAATCATACTCTTACAAGCAGTTCTGGTGATTTCAGGTCCAAAATGATGAATTCTGAATGAACAGGCCTATGTTGACTCAGGATGGTCTGTGTGAGCATTGTTACTTATTGCAAAATGATCTATATAGTTAATTTTCAAATTTAAGATTTGGATAGTATCTGGTCCTGTTGTGAACTCACTTGTCACATCATTGTCTGCATCCACTCAAGGTCAGTAATAACCAAATAAGGCAGAAACATTAAGTTTGAATGTCCACCAAAAGTCAATTATTGCACTTATTATCATCTGGTTAGTAAGGGACCTTAAAGCTAACTTAATTCAAACTCCTGTACAGTTTACAGAATGCTATGTATTAAGGGGCAAGAGTGAGTTAAAGGTCCTTTTCTTTCTATTTGTAAAGCTAATCATTTGTTTACTTGAGGTGGTCTGTCTTCCTTAGAGTCTTTGTGAATATGACTAGATTTTAATATTCATGAATGTCTACTTGTGTTTAATTTTATTTTAAAGGAATGATTCAGGCTCAGTCCAAACTTGCACACTCTAATATCTCTCTGTAGTCTTTATGTCACAATTAATTGTCCTTTATGAGAGAGTAAAGAGTACACTGATTTATGAATTCACTAATTTTTCTTCTCCACTGTGACAAACATATACAAACATATCATGTCTTGAAACAGAAACATTAATTACTAACACATCTGGTGCTAAACAGAATTAAATAAAATGGATTTTCTGGTTTTCCATCCAACTTACTATATAGGATAGGAATATCTTTCTGGAATTACCGTCCATATATATTTATTCTGTTAGCATTAGTTAGTCTCTGTTGGCGCTGTTTTCTTTTAGACTCTTGCATATCACCCCAAAAGCCTTTAGGCTTTAAAATGAGAAGAACCACCAAAGATCATCATTGTTTTCTAAGTCAGTCCCGGAAGCATAGACCCAGAAAGAGGTCAGGGACCTTGAGAGGTCTTTATTTTTTCCAGAATAATAGAGAATTGATAACTCAGCCTTTATGACCTAGTCCAGCATCTCAAAGTGCTAAATTCACAATGTTGATGATTTTCTCTCTCCCTCTGCCTGTGTCCTGGGTGATCCTGGAGAATCCTGATATCCTGTCTCTTGCCATCCTTTCCAGATTATGCAAGATCCATCAGAGTTGACTGTTACCTCTTTGTTTTCTAACCATCATCCTTATCTCCCTTGAGGCACAACAGTGGTGTCATCTTGTCCTGTATATTCAATTGTCTAAATATATCTCAGTTTCCTTTGATCTTGGAAGCTAACTCAAAAACCTTGGAATTTCCTAAGTGCTCCACTTCTCTTGCCACTACATCCATGGGTTATTTTCTTTGTCCAGAACCTTTACCTCTTTTTGCATCACTAACTCCCCATCAGCTTCCAAACTGTGCTCACATTTCTTTTCCCCAGTTAAACATTCTTATTTGCCTCACCCTCAAGCTGCAGTACCTGCCTCTTTTATCTGTGCCCCACCATACTCTGTACATCTGCCTCTCTTTATTACAAGGCATAATCATTAATTTACTCATCTCTCTCTTTCCCTGGACTATTTGGGGGCTAGAGATGTCCCCTTTTATAGTGAAATCCTGAGTAATGTTGCCCAGAAAATAAGAGACTCACAGAGAAGAACTGTTGGTTGAGTGAATAAATGGTGATGTGTGGTTTAGATTTAGACAGAGAGGTCTGACCTTTACCTGAGATGTGTGTCTATTTTTTATGAGTCATTTTCCTTCCTGTTTGACTAATATGGTGTCTCTCTAAAGCCAAGAATGATTATTATCTGCTTTCCCATAAAACCTTATCCTTCCAGATGACACAAATCTTCCCTGATGTCAATCAGAAAAGTGGCACCTGAATGCCAAGAGGATTGACAGAATTGCTCAAGTGCATATATGCCCCGGGCAATGTTTAGAAATACAAGTGAATCTGTATATGCGCAAACTCGGTGTGTGTCAGTCAACTTCCTTACACTAAAGATGGTTGTGGGGAAATATTTATCGTGCCTTATAAATTATTTATAATTGAATTTGTTTAAATGTTCAACAGTGATGCATTTAAAACATGACTCAATATACAAAAGTATCAATACTGAGGCAAACTTTCTGTTTTCTAGAGTGATAACAATATCTGTTATCTAGACTGTGGTGCCATTACAGAAATGGAGAAATGACTTTGAAATCACCATGACCAACCTAAAATGGGATTTTAACAAAGTAACTGGAAATGAGAATAAATAAAGACTATGTTAAGGTAAAGAAGAGGACATTGGAAGATGACAGAAGTCTTACTAGGATTTTAAACCTTAAAATTTATTACTACACATAACAGAAAGTATCTTGGCATTTTGCATGAAAAAGTAATTAAGTTTCTGTTTACTTTAGTATAGAGACAAAACTTGGCTTGCAGGATGCTTGAGGGGAACAAGGACATCTGAACACTCTCCCCTCTCCTTGCCCTGCATTAGTCTAGTTTGCCTCTTAATGTAGATGGTGGAAGCATGAAAATGCTTACCCTGCCTCAAGGAAATAAAGTGCAGATTGCGATGAATTGAAGTAAGGATGATTCAGAATTGGTACCTGGCAATTGTACCTCAAGTGTCTGGCAATTTCCAGTTAGAGAACAGATGAGGGGGTTTCTTCTTTCCTCTTTCTCATCTCCCTAATGACCTTGTTTTGGAATTTGCTTCAGCAGTTTCTCTCTCCCTTGGGGTCTCCTATAAACTTACAGATGTCCTTAGTATCATCCACTTTCCTCCTCCAGCTACCATTTCAGCGTCTATTCCTTTTCTGCAGCACAAGTGTAAAGACATATCAATATTTCATATCTCTTTCCTCATTTTCCATTTTTCTCACCCAATAAGGCTTTTGAATTCACCACCACACTTTTTAAAAGAAGTATTTACATATTTATTTGGCTGTACCAGATCTCAGTTGCAGCATGCGAAATCTTTGATCTTCGTTGTGGCGTGAAGGTTCTTTAATTGGGGCATGTGGGATCTTTTAGTTGTGGCAAACAGGGTCTTTTTAGTTGTGGCATCCAAACTTTTAGTTGTGGCATGTGGGATCTAGTTCCCTGACCAGGAATTGGACCCAGGCCCCCTACATTGGGAGTGTGGAATCTTAGCCACTGGACCATCACAGAAATCCCAACCACAACTGTTACTGAAGCAGACAGTGAACAGGTACTGCTGAAGTGAAAGGTTGATTTTCATTCTCCAGGTGACTCACCTCTAAATACCATTCAACACAGTTGTTCACTCCCTCTTGAAACATTTCATCCTTTAGGCTTCTCAGTTCCATAGATAGGCCTTGTTTTCTTATTTCACTGGTTTATTAGCCTACCACTTTTCCAAATTCGATGCCCCTGGTTCTGTCCTTGCCTCTTGTTTTCTTATCTACACTCTAGCCTACAAAATTTAAGTACTATGTGCGTGCTAAGTTGCTTCAGTCGTGTCTGACTCTTTGCAACCCTTTGGACTGTAGCCTGCCAGGCTCCTCTGTTCATAGGATTCTCCAGGCAAGAATACTGGAGTGGGTTGCTGGGCCCCCTCCAGGGGATCTTCCCAATCCAGGGATTGAACCTGTATCTCTTACAGGTTTCCTGTATTGGCAGTCCAGTTCTTTACCACTAGTGCTACCTGGGAAGCCCTTAGGTATCATGTATACACTTTATTTGCTAACTTGGGCCTTGTGTATTTGACTGCCTTCTTGATAGCTCTTTTTGGATTCCTGTTAAGCATTGAAAAACCTAACAAATCCAAAGAGGTTCATTGCATTCTTTCCTCTTACCCCCACTACACCCCCACCCCTGCCAAACCTACTTCCCTGAGTCACCAGGATTGTACCATCACGAACACCAACTGCTCAGACCAAAAACTAAGAAATCTTCACATCACTCATTAATTCATCAGCAAGCCTCATTCACTCCAAAATATATCTCACATTCAATCACTTTCATCATCTCATGGTTTCTAGAGCAAGCCTCCCTCTGTCTCCCAGGCTAAAGTGACAGCCTCCGCAGTTAGTCTCCCTGCCTCTATCAGCGCTGGTCCAGTAATCAGTTAGCAGCAATCATAGCAGGTGAAGAGATCTTTTGGATGTGTGCTCAGTCATGTCTGACTTTTTTTGACCCGAAGGACTGCAGCCCTCCAGGATTCTCTGTCCTTGGGATGGTCCCACCAAGAATTCTGAAGTGGGTTGCCATTTCCTTCTTCAGTGGATCTTCATGACTCAAGGATCAAACTTGGGTCTCCTGTGTCTACTGCATTACAGGTGATTTCTTTACCGCTGAGCCACCAAAAATATCTAAATTCACAACATTCCTTTGCTTAAAACATTTTAATAGTTTCTCACTGCACCTAAAGAAAAATGTAAGCTCTTTACCCATGCCCTAAATGATCTGGCTCAGCCTACTCCTCTAAACTCCCCACTTTGCCTTTTTGGTCTCAAAACCCTTATGCTCAAACCTTGTATTCAGTGTTCCTTTTTTTCTTTATGCAAAGTGGGAACATTCTCCATCCACTTGGATGATTCTTTCTCAACATTCAGGCCTCAGCTCAAATTTTTATGCTTTCTATCTACAGGAACAGCCTCCCCACCGCATCACCCACCCATCATTTTCTTCATAGAATATGGTTTTATAATCTTCAGAGTGCTGGTCAGTAACAGAAATGGTCTTTTTCATTTGATGGTGAACTTGTTGAATACATTCTCACTACTAAAATGAAAGTGTCTAGAGGGTTCAGACACTGGATCCTCATTGCCTCCTCAGGGCCTAGAATATTTTTGAATGGTATTTATTGGCTGACTGACTCAGGATACCTCTCTATCACATGTTAAAACTGGACTTTCTACCAAAAACTTCAAAAGTTCATTTTTTGAGCAATAAGACATATTCTAGAAATTGTCCTGGTAGAATCATTTTGGGGTGGTTGACGTGTAGAAACTTGTCTTCTTTGCTACCTGTTTCCATCCACACTTCCAAGTTCCGCTCTTTGCCTCTATTTCTGTCTCTGTCTCCATCTTGATCTTAATCTCTATCTTGGTCTCTAAATTTCTTTAAACATATGCTTCCTTTGTGGCCCTGTATCTAGCTTTCTCTCTTGTTTAAACACAAGGCAAAGGGCTTTCTTTAAAGGAACATAATAATGGCAAGTGACTATATTTACTGAGCATTAGAAACCATTATCATCATATTCAACAGCTTGCTGTTTTGGCTATTGTCTTTAAAAGATGAGATATTTTAGCTATTATGTAAAAACCTCATTATGGAACAGCTCTTTACTGCAAAATTGGTTATCTGTGGATCAAATCATGTTTCCTAAAATATCCTCATATAGTATTTCTCAACAGAATAGGGCTAGTTCATTCAATATCTTAATGTAATGTTACAGAGGCTCAATTTAATTCTTTGGTGTTTGAATTCAAATTCACTTTCAGAGTAACTCATGTTTAGGAAATATACTTTAGATATATTTTATTCAGAAAATATTTGTTGAATTGCTACTATATGCAAGCACTGTAATATATATTGGAAATGTGATGGGAATGAATGTTCTGTCATCTGTCTTTATGGAGCTTAGAGTCTTAAAGGGGAGGCAGATATTAATAAAATAAAAAAATAGTAGTAGGTACTTGTTGGATTAGTGTAGTGTTTTACATGTCTTACAACCAGTAATGGACTTTTAAGACCTGGTGGCTCAGTGGTAAAGAATCTGTCTGCATTGCAGGAGATGAGGGTTCAATCCCTGGGTGGAGAAGATCCCCTAGAGGAGGAAATGGCAACTCACTCCAGTATTCTTACCTGTGGAATCTCATGAACAGAGGAGCCTGGTGGGCTATAGTCCATGGGGTTGTACAGAGCATGGGGTTGAGCTCCCTGTGTCCATATAGCAGCTCCCACTGGCTATTTTACACATGGTAGTTCATATATGTCAATGCAACTCTCTCAACTCCTTCCATCCTCTCCTTCCCCACACTGTGTCCAAAGTCTGTTCTCTGTCTGCCTCTCTATTCCCACCCTGCAATTAGGTTAATCAGTACCATTTTTCTAGATTCTGTATATATATGTTAATATACAAAAAATTGTTTTTCTCTTTCTGACTCACTTCACTCTGTGTAATAGGCTCTAGGTTCATCCACCTCACTAGAACTGACTCAAATACATACCTTTTTATGACTGAGTAATATTCCAATGTATATACACACCACAACTTTATCTATGCATCTGCTGATGGATATCTAGGTTGCTTCCATGTCCTAGCTATTGTTAATAGTGCTGCTATGAACATTGGGGCATATGTGTCTTTTTCAATTATGGTTTTCTCAGACTGTCTGCCCAGTAGTGGGATTGCTGGGTCATATGGTAGTTTTATTTCTAGTTTTTAAAGGAATCTCCATATTGTTCTCCATAGTGACTGTATTGGGAAGCCCTGATGGCTCAGACGGTAAAGAGTCTGCCTGAAATGTGGGAGACCTGGGTTCGACCCCTGGGTCGGAAAGATCCCCTGGAGAAGGAAATGGCAGTCCACTCCAGTATTCTTGTCTGGAAAATCCCACGGATGGAGGAGCCTGGTAGGCTACAGTCCATAGGGTTGCAAAGAGTCAGACATGACTGAGCAACATCTCTTTCTCTCTTTCTCTAGTGACTGTATTAGTTTACATTCCCACCAATAGGCAAGAAGGTCCCCTTTTCTCCACACCCTCTCCAGCATTTATTGTTTGTAGATTTTTTGATGATGACCGTTCTGACCGGTGTGAGGTGATACCTCATTGTAGTTTTGATGTGCATTTCTCTAATAATGAGTGATGATAAGCATCTTTACATGTATTTGTTGGCCATTTGTAAGTTAGAAGCCATACTTTTATTCACTACATTTTACTGCCTGGTGAGACGTTGAAAAAAATGAAAGGCAAGAATCATTCCAAGTAAATTCATAATTATAATGGTATGAACTTGAAGTGAAGACTCTAAAGAGAATTCAGTCCAGAGTAACCTAGTGTGGGGAATCAGGGAAGATTTTCTGATGGAAGAGGTGGAAGAGATGGGAAGGGTTTAATTAATTTATACTTCATTCCCTCCAGCCCTATTCTGCTCTACTTAATACCACGAGAACCTTCTTTTCACAGGAATAGAGGAAGCTGCTCACCGACAATTTGGCAGTTAATTCATTCTCTGACCTTTCCACTTCCTGCACTATAATCAGTCTCTGCTGTTGCTTAACATAGTGCAAAGTCAGAACAAATGAACATAGGTCAGATACATGTAAAAACTCCCTGGGTGGCCATGGTCTATCTCAGGATGAACATGGAACCTTCAATGATAACCCTCACAAGTGAACGACATTAACTCCAATTCTTTTGTGACCCATTCTAGCCACTTGTAGATAAAGTTGTAATTCGGAGAGGAATTATTTAAGAGAATCATAATCATATTATGCAATTAGGTCTTGGTAGAACTGACACTACTGCATTTAATTTATGATACACGATATAGTAAATCAACTCAGGGAAATGGCACCTTTCCTTTTAATGCAGGTCATTAGGAAAACATTCCTCACTGTCCATGGGACAGAGCACTAGAATGTGCTGCCAGAGGAGGTCATCGTAGGTTCTTTTTAAGCAACAGCTCATTTAATTCCCACATAGGCCAGGGTATTTCAATTTGTTCTTTGGATACAGATTTTATTCTTCACCCCAGCACTTAGCTAAAAATGTTGAATACTGCACACAAGGGAGACCAAGAGGAAGAATGAAAATGAACGTGTTGCCAAATGACAAAATTTTATAGTCTCTTAAATCCAGGAGGATTGATTTCTCTCTCTTTTTTTCACTTGCAGATGAAACGTACAGATTTCCAAAAAGAAATCACAGATGTGTAATGAGGTGGTGAGACTAAATCAGCAAATGAGAAGCAGGAAACATCCCAACAGCAATTATTCAACAGCCACTGAAATTTGCAAAAGATGCCAATATCTCCCAGGAGAGTAAACAATCATGATGTAGAAATGTCAACTGTGGAAACACTGTGTTAAAAATGTAGTGCAAAATTTTCCAGCTCTATATTTTGTCTTGGGAAGGGTAGCCTTATGCACAATAGTCCGTAAGTAGCCCCCGGGTTGTGACTACATCAGCAGAAACCTCTTTACTTCTCTGTGCATGGTAGTTACTAGTGAACTCAACTGGGGACACATTGGCTAGCTTAATTTATTATCACCAACAACTGTTTATGTCTAGTAAGATTAAACAAGGAAATTCAAACCCATATCCCTTTCAAGCTGCTTTTATTGATGGCTGGTTTATTGTGTGATCCTGTCTCTCCTAGGCACAGTCAAGAAACTCCCCTTTGGATGTCTTGGTGATGCTGTCCTCTTATGTCTTTTAAAATATCCCAAATGGGCAGCTCCTGGGAAATTAGAAATAGATATAGATGGGAATCATATTACTTAAAAAGTAAACAAGCTATTAATACACTTATTCTCTGGTTTTAATAATCATTGATTTTGTTTGATTTAACTTTTTACAATTGCTCCCAATACTAATAGAAATATTTCTAACACTATATAATAAGCCTATAGTTTTCAGGTAATATCAAGGCAATTGTTATCCTTTTAAAAAAATTTATTTATTTATTGGCTGCTCTGGGTATTAGTTGTGGCATGTGGGATCTTTAGTTGCAGCAAGTGGGATCTAGCTCCCTGACCAGGGATCAAACCTGGGCTTCCTGCATTGGGAATACAGTCTTAGCTACTGGACCCACAGGGAAGTCCCTGTGTGGCATCCTAAGAATTTGGGATTAGTAGTTAATGAATTTTGACTCTCTTTTTGGAATGCTAGGGTAATGGTCTGCTTGCTTTTAGGCTTAATGTTTCTGGCAAAGAGGAGAGTAAAAAGGAGCATGAAGTCAGAGGTTACTTACTATGATTTTGATGGTTCTTTGGCAAGTATTTCCTCTTAATGTTAACCAACTTCATCTTGCTGATTGTTAGGTGAAGAAAAGGTGGAGTCCGTCAGTGAAAAAGATTGGGGTCAGGGCGGTGCTCAGAGGGAATGAATGTGAATAGGTGCAGGCAGGAAGAGAATCTTTCTAACATTTGGATGAAAAGCCTAAAATGAGTTAGCCCGTGAGAGTAAAATGTTTGTCATTCTAAAGGGTCCTGAAGTCATGTCAGTGATTCAGTGCTAATGGTAGTGGAAAGATCACTAAGTGACTAATGCAATCCCATTTTAGGACTTGACTAGTTAATTGGATTTAATGATTTT